ACTGAACCGGTAACCGCTGTAACCGTTCCGGACCAACTATCAGGCAAAGACGATAGCAGTAGCAAAGCTTGAACTTCATCATCGAACTTAATGCCCACTGACGCAAGTCTGGCTAAGATCGAATTCAACTTGTTGATATGCTCGGTAACTAAAGTGCCTTCTCTCATCCTTGTATTCACCAGCTCTCTAATCAGAAAAACTTTGTTAGCTGCAGATGGCTTCTCGTACATATTAGACAGCGCTTCCATAATTCCCTTCGCTGTCTTCTCCTTCAGAATGTTGAACGCAACATTCTTGGTCAACGAGAGACGGATCACGGACATTGCTTTCCGATCCAAACCTGCCCAATCTGCATCCGACATCTTTTCTGGCTTGTCACCCAATACCACGTCCAAATCTTTCTGAACCAGCAAATCTTCAATTTGCATTTTCCACCAACTGTTATTTACCCAATTTTGAAAAACTTTAACCCTATTATTAAAAAAGCCTATAGCCTATTACAATTTTATATACAATAAATACGGTACTTTTCCAGGCCAAGGTAGTAAGATTAATCAACGTGTGTTTTAATTCGGTGCTTCAACATCACTTTTTGTACGGACACATGGGGATCAGAACCGCTTTAAAAATTGTTGATGAGAGGTCAGGACTATTGATGATGAAACTAAGAGCGGTAAGAGTTTACATATTTTATATTTTACATATAAATCTTTAAAAAATGAATATAATTATATGTAAACGTTTTATATGTAAACGTTCTGATATGCAATGAAGATAATATTCCCACAAATTGTACAAATAATGTAGTCTATAAAGAAGTCTTTCGAAATTTGTAAAGTAGTGATGTTTTTACCTTAAAATAATATAATCTCTATATTCTATTGCATCTCATTTTTATCAATGAAAAATGATTTGAATTTAATCTAATTTTTATCATTGAAAAATGATTAGAATTTAATAACCTAGTAAGCTGAAAAAATAAGTTGAACAGAATGATGTCTTAATCGTCTTAAAATTGATTTGAAATTTAAATAAAATATTAAAAAATAAACAAATAATAGATGGTTGAAACTTATATAAAAGAAATACTCCCTCCGTCCCCAATTTGATTACAAATTGCGGGTTACAAAGTACAATTTGCTACTTTTTGAAATCATTTTATTTACAAATTGGTATATCAATAAAATATAAAAATTACATATTAAAAAACTACGTCAAAAGTTCTACAAAACAAGAGGTGACAAGAATATTTTATTTTATCAAATACTTAATGAAATTGCGTAAACAAACAAAAGTTATCGAGAGAAGAGAAAAAAAAATTGTAATCTATTTAGGAACGAAGGGAGTACAAAGATTGTGGATCATATAATTTTTTTAGGTAAATAAAGAAGTGACAGTTATTTTGGAACGTTTCAAAAATCATAGTAGGAATAGAACTATTAATTCCCAAATGTCGAGTATGAATAAGATTGTTACTGTTTGGTTGGTTGAAAAGTAAAAAACAAAAGGGTGGGTAGGGCATTGACGCTGATACCCGTCGAGGGGTCACGCCTCTGTCA